AGGGGGGGACCGGGCCTGGGGGACCCCTGAGAGTGTGTGTGTGGGGGGTCCCCACGGGGGGCCTGGGGATCCCGTCGGGGTGCGGGGGGAGGGAGCCGTGGAGACACTTGTGCCGTACCGGGTGCCTGGTAGTTCCTGGAGGGCAGGGCAGGACACTTCCCTTCCCCCCCTGGAAGCGGGCAGCAGTCTCTGATGCCTCCCCAGCTCCCGGGAGGCCTGAGGAGGGGGTCTCCGCCCCCCGTGGCGGTCTGCACGTTGCTGGCTTTGCCTCAGCGGAGAGCTCTGGGAGACTGCGGGGATTGAAACTCTGCTGTCCTGCTGAGCATGCCCACGTAGTGAAACTGGGATGTTTCATATTCATAACCGACTGAGAAATTGAGCTAATACCCGCTTCACCGTTACCTTTAAGCTTTGTTAACCAGGCAAGTTGCCGTAAGTTCTGATTCTGGTAGACTGGAGGACAATTATTTTAAATTTTGTGATTTGTTTCAGAGAACAGTACAGAGAGGGGGCATGGAGATGGTCAGCCTGTGGTGATCCTTCTAGGTTGGGCAGGCTGCCAGGACAAATACCTGGCCAAATACAGTGCAATCTACAGTCAGAAGGTGAGTAGTTTATTTATATTTTCATGACACTGTCATACAGCTCTCTGGGAAACCACCTCTTTTCTGCATGTTGGTAGAATCGCTCTAAAGCCTCTCTTGGTCTGAAGAGTCGTTGGGAGTGAGTGGCGAGTTCTCTTGTCATTGAAAGCTCCTTGTCCCTTGGAGCCCAGGCAGCGTTATCTAACAGTTGCTGATGTCATCTTTGTGTGTGCAGCTGAGGCAAAAATACTTCCTTGGAGAAACTTTCCGCTGTTGTGTGAATCACTGGAGTATTTTAAGGCTTTTAAAGTTGTGAGACTATTCAGGAATGACATGAACTGTGTTAGCTTTCCAAACAGGTAAACGTACGGGGAAAGATTATGTGTTTACTGCTTGCTAATAGGCCACAGCACAGACTAGGTGAGGCCAGGCTGAGGACTGACAGAGCACGTCAGCATCTGTTGTTCCTTTGGCTTTTCCTTCCTGTGAAGATGATTCATCTAAATGTTGTAATCCAAATTCGTTTTATCCTGTCTGTGAATAGGATAGCAGATGTCTGTGAATAGGACTGCCATCCTATGACAGTCACACCTGCTCACTAGGAACTCCTTGTGTTTGAACTAGAGAGGTCTGTCCGATTGCTAGTTCCCTAAGTTATGATATTTTCCTTTCTAATACTGTATTTTACTGGAATGACCCCAGCTTGTAGTATGGGGACCCAGTGAAACATTAGACTTTTTTTTCTGTTTCAGCTATAGGTGGAAAAGTTTGTACATTAACAAGTCTATCGTTAATGTGTAATCCAGTGCAAGAGTCATGAATTGGCTTGTTCTAGTGAAGAATTAATTCTTAAGTGACTGTTGTGACTAAGAGATGCTGCTGAGCGGGCGAGGAGCACATTACAAGGCAGCATGCTAACTTTTTTGAAAATAATTTTCTATCAGAAAGATGATAGGAATGGGAAAGGAGAGGAAGGGTTTTCTTAGCTCCCTAATGAGGAAGTGGCTGCAACTGTGGCAAGATGGTGTAGAAGACTTTGATTTAAGAACTTGATATCCTCTGCTTCCTCGTTCACTGTTCAGGGAGCTCTGGGCAGGAGGGCTGTCTTGGTGGCTTTGCCTTGTGTTTGTCAGTGTGTAATGTCAGTGAGTTTAGGTGATAGAAAAGATCCAAAGCATTTATAAATGTAGTTCCATCTGCTCTATTTAGAAACTCCTTCAAGATCCTGTTTCCCAATCTACACCTAAATGTAAGACCTTAACTGTAAAGGCAATTGCGCAGGCATTCTGAATCTCTGAACCGGTGCTCTCCATTTGCACAGCTGGAACGTTTCAGAAAGGCTCATGAAAATCATGTCAGTGTGTCACGTCCCACCTAGGAGAAGGGGAGAGTGACTGAGGTTCGCAAATCCCCTCGGTGTGGATTAAGGTGAAATAACACTCAAGGTCCAAAAACAAACTCCAACTTTAACGGCACAAACACTTCTATAAGCATCAACCCTCTATGTCTTAATATATAATACAAGCTAAGCAGCTTTATGAGGAGTTGAGGTAGGCCTTGTATTACTTAACAACATCAAAAGCAGAGAGCGAGAAGGAGGAGAGAGAAAGAGAGAGAGCTGGGAAGCAGGAGAGAGGTAGAGAGAGATAAAGAAATCACCAATCCTTGATCCAGCGTTGGACCTGCCAATGGGGGGTGTCAGTGTGGAGAGTGCCCCCAGGAGGCTCACGTGCGCCCCTATTTATTGGCTCCAGCCCAAGGTTTCTAGAGTCTTCTCTCACCCCAGCTCCAGGAGTGGTTGAGACATTAGACAGTCAAGGAGAGCGACACCGGGCCCCTCCCCGTGGCTGGCTTCTGGAGCTTTCCCTGGGGCATTGTCGGTGCTTACAGCACAGCCACGTGGGCCTCGTCCCTTACACAGTCTTGATTGTGGGTGAGTCTTAGAGACGGCTGCAAACAAGTACTACCCAAGGACAGGAAGAAGTTCCTTCTCCTTCTTATGTTTGTTTCAATGTTGTGAACTAGATGTCTACCAGAGCAGGCCCTTCTTACCAAAATGGCTGATACCGAAGGTTTGTGAAGATGGTTTTCTCTTCCTGGGTGAAGACTAACGCTCATAAAAGCTTGGGTGGCAATGTCCCCAAGGGCTGTGCCAGCTAGCACAAGATTTGAAAGGATCTCAAACATCATCAAATCCAGGCCTCTGCTACTGCAGAAACCTTTTCATAATACTGTGTGCTGTCATGATTAATATAATCCTATTCATACTGGTGCCTTGCTACTGACACTAAAGACTTTCTTCTGGCCCTGTGGTTTCTGTTGGAAACCTGTCTCCAATTTTCACGTCCTTTGTACTGATGCTTGCCTACTCCATGTAATTTACAGCACAGCCTAAATGTGTGTGGGCTCTCTTTCTGTTCTTCTTAGGGGTGCACCGTCATCCGCTACACGGCTTCATGGAGGATGATATTCTTCTCTGAGACCTTTGGCATCAGATCCCTCCAGACCCCAGCCAGGCGACTCCTGGAGCTGCTCTTTGACTACAGCGTTGAAAACAGACCGGTTCTTTTTCATGTTTTTAGCAATGGTGGTGTCATGCTGTACCGTTACATCATCGAGGCGCTCCACACTCACAAGCCATTTAAGAACCTCAAAGTGGCAGGCACCATTTTCGATAGTGCCCCTGGCAGAAGAAACTTGAGAGGAGGTCTTCGTGCCTTGGCAACTGTCTTGGTATCCAGGAATGTGCTGCTCAAGTATTTCCTCCTATTTGCTTTTGCTACTACAGCTGTCGTGCTGCGGATCTTGCTGTACCCATTGACCCGCTTCATCCACGAGAACCATTACGATGCCCTGCTGAAAGCGCCCTCGCGCTGGCCTGAGCTTTACCTCTATTCCCAAGCCGATGCCATCATCAAGGCCAGCGAAGTTAAGCACATGGCTGATGCCCGGCAGCAGCTGGGTGTCTCCGTGAAAGCTGTAGACTTCTCGGATTCGGCTCACGTCAGCCATATGCGGGCGTATCCCACCTATTACGGCAACCTCTGTACGACTTTCCTGTCTGACTCTGTCGGGGGCTCACCTCGTTAGTGGCGTAATGACCTCCAATGTTTGCCTCTGCTTTGCTCAGCTTGTATGGGAAATGTCACTCCCTTTGTGTCTTTGAAGGGAGGAAAGTAGAGACTCCTTAGCTTTTTTTTTTCCCCTCCCCTCCCCCATCTAAAAGTCTGAAAGCCTCCAGGCTGGCCTTTGTATAGCAGGAAGTAGATATGGATTAATTTAAAGTACTGAAGGTGAAATCCTAGCGTGGTTGAAGTTGATCTGCTTTACCAAGGTGTGTCAGACCAGAATTTCACATCGAGTGTTACTTGTTTCTTCCTGTCTCGTGGTGTTCTCTGCTTTCCATGTTGTCTCCTTGTCCCTGATGTCCAATGTGCATGCTCTGTTGCTTTGTACTGATTTTACAATACAGCTCTTCAACGTCTTTGTTGTTTCTTTCCTCTCTGCCATTTCTTTTATCTTGCAGTGAGCAAACAGGAGCAGCTCTGCAGGACTTCTCTCTCCTCTCGGTGCATCCCAGCTCTTGTTATACTACCTGCTGGAGATCAGGCCCGGAAGCCAAGTGTAAGACCTGGAAAAGGCTTGTGCAGGGCAGTATGACCAGTCTGTCATCTGGTTCCGTTAAATAGCTGAGATAGATGGAGCGGTCAAAGCTCTGATCCTTGGTGGGAGCTCGAATGTTTGTGACAACTTTTGCGTTCTTCAACCAAAAGATTAAGTTAACCTTTTTGAATGTGTCTTGTGTTTTGTTTCCCTTCCTTCCAGTCTTTTGTGTGTTCTCCCAAGTAGTTTTGCTTTCTCGGAGAACTGCTCATTTATTATTGTGTGTCTTTGAGCAGCCTATATTGTGCGTCTGGAAATGCAGCGAAACTGGCACAGCTGTAACCCAAAAGACCTCAGAAACAGAAAGGTGGAACTGCAGGGAAAAATGAAACTGTCTCTTGGAGCTATGATTTATACCGGGTGTTTCTTAGATCACTTCCAGCCCACAAATGACCATGAAATTCAATGTTTTTCCCCATAATGTTCTCTTCAGATGATCAGTCTTTGCTGTCCATGCAGCATGTACTAGTGATACAAGAAATTAATTCCTTCCACCTAGTGAGAAAGTAGCTCATTGCACTGCGCTTCAGGCATGTTTGGTTCTGGGTTTTGTTGTTTATTTTGGGGAGAAGCGGGGATAAAGACAGAGGAGAGCCAAGAACATGTTTATGCCATGTCACAGCGTGACATAAGCTAATTAATAATGCGGCGGACAGGGTTAGCTGACTTTAAATTCCTAGTCAAAGGTTGCTGGGAACAGGCTCTGGAGGGCTATGGGCCTGTTTGAACAAGGGGCTGCCCTCGAGAGGTAGGAACATGAAAAGCACGAGGATTTTTCCAGCCGTTTCCTGCCGGTGGGCTGCTGTGCTTGTCTCGTCCACCCTTGGGGTGCTGTCATCCACAATTACAAAGTACTTGCTGTTCTAAATCGAAACGCAGAGAGGCAGGCCTCTTGGGAAGCACTGAAATAATTTGGAAGTTTAAAACAAGAACCGTAACACCTCACAGAAGTGGAAGCACGGGGTGAGTCGGGTCGGTGGCCAGAACAACTGTTTCTGGCAGGCTAGTGTGGCAACCCTTACTTAAAGCAAAGAGTAACCCCATGTCGGGCGTGGTTTTAAAGGGTGGACTGGGGTGTACAGGATAGGTGAGAATTAACTGAAAAGGGGCTGATGGCCTGGTTTGTCTTCAGTTTTTTTAAAGCGAAAACTGGCTCCAGGCACAGGGGCCCTTGTTGCTCGGGGTCGGGTTTTCTGTAGGTGTGATCCCAGTTTCAGCTTCCACTGTGAAGAGGAGCTGTGAGGGCTGCCCTGCGGTAAGGTAGCCTTCAGCCTGCCGCTTTTCATGAAGAAATTCCTGTTCCTAGGGTTTGGACCTGTAAAAGGCAGGCATGGTCCCCTATCCCCAGAAAGCCCGTCGGAGATCTCCCAGCTTTTTGAAGCAGGCCCCTGGTTTGTGCTGTCCGTGCCGTAACTCCTGAGCTGTGATATGTTTTCCTGCCTTCCTGGAGTGCTGGGCTGTTGTCTTCTGAGCATCCAGCCTGTTTGTGGCACTGTGAAAACTCTTGGGGAGCAGAGGTGATAAAAGTTATTTAACTAGCACTTGCCCTTGTGCTGGTTTCTACGGGTTCAGTATTTACAGAACAGTTAAACACTCCATAATATACGCCTCTGAATTAATACAGTTGTGCTGGGCTGGGAATCTGCTGTTCCTGTTTATTGCCGTGGGCGTTGAACTTCTCCTATTTAAGGACTCGGGCTGTTGCGGAGCGTGGCTGGCAGGAGCTGGAGCTAAACCCTCTGTCCCTGCGTGATGAGACAGCAAAGCTCCCTCCGGGAAGAGCCCCACGCGTGTCAGCTACACCTTCCACCCCTCCTTCACCTCCCCACCGCAGGATTGGTGCTCCCCCAACTCAGTCCAGCTCTGTTCCACCTCCCTGCTTTCCAGGGCAGCAGGCAGGGAGTGGGTGCTGCCTGCTGCCTGCTGGAGCTCCGCAGTCAGAGGTGCCCTGTGCTACGTGAGCGGGAACCAGCTCACGGGCATTTCCACTGCTGCAAAACTGACGTGAAATTCAGGGCGAATTCGTGTGCACAACTCTCTAAGAGCAGGGGGGGATCTCGAGCAAACCAGTGATTTACAGATGAAGTCATCGGCACCAATCTTCTGGGTGGGTTTCGTTTTCCCTGTCCCAGCAAGTTTTGATGATGATTATGAGCAGTGTGTTACATGTATTGTGTGATACATTGCCCTCTTCTTTCCTTTCTGTTGCTTGTTATTTGAAACAGAAGGTTAATAACTTGGAGCCCGAAGGCACATGGCCAAGAACGGGTCCAAGCACTACTGGATTAAAGAAAAAACCCAGCCTCAAACCGTTAATCCTTGCTAAACCGTCACATTTTGGTGCAGCCTGCGTTTCTAAAGAGCTTCAGCCTGAACACGGAAAGCCAAAGGTTGGGATATCTTGGCAAATCCAAGCGGATCTCTGAGACGAGCTGTGGGAGGGCTATCGCAGATCTGCTCTTTGGGAGGGAAAGTGCCGCGTCCCTGGGCTTGCCTCGCGGGTAGGGAGCGGGATACGGCACCGGCGATCTCTGCCTGGGGAGCCCGGAGCTCGTTTTCCTGCAGTCCAGCCCTTGCGCGCAGACGGTGGAGCGGTGTGAACCGAACGCCAGCGGTGGTGGGAGAGGAGGATGCCCGCGGGCCAGCTGCTGCCATTGTGTATTTCCCGGCTACGTTCATTTTGCAAGAGCACGAACGAACCTTTCCTCAGCAACAAAAGCCATGCGTGAGTGTTTCCTGTGAGGGAGCTGGCTGCCAGCTCGCTCCCCTCTGCCGCCTTCTCTCCCCAGGCAGCGGTGATGTTACAGGAAGGTTTTAAAAAAGGAAAAAAGCCGCTTGGTTAGCGGTCAGGGTGGCCGTGTGCCTGGGCTGGAGGGCGCTTAGCTGCGGTGAGAGGGTGTCCGTGCAGCCAGGCTGCCTCCGCGGTGCTGGGAGAGACCTGGGCAGACCAGGGGCATGATCCAGCCCAGCCAGGGCTTGCATTTTGGAGCAGGGGGGGAGCATCTTGCAGTACCAGTAATTCAACCCTAGCCCCTGGGCAAAGACTGACCTTAGCCCATGCCTAATAAAGGTGTTTTAAAAGTCTGCTGTTGCTTTTTGTGTGTCGGGGCAGCAAATTGTGTTTGGGCTGAGGCCCCGTCTTTGCAGGCGTTGGGAAGGCGCAGGCGTATGTGTGAAGCTGTGCCACCGATGGGAACGCATGCATGGACGGCTGGAAATGGAAACGAGCGACCCGACCCCGTGTGCTGCTTCCTAGAAAGAGAAGCGGGGAGGCGTGAGGCTGGTCTCCATCGCCCCGTGGAGGTGATGGAGGCGGCAGCTGGCAGAGGGGCGGCTGTGCCAACCTCCCTGACCGCAGCGGCGGCAGGGGATGCTCGGGCCCGGGAGGGAGCAGCACTCCACGAGGTGGCAGCAGGCCCCCTCTTCCCTGCGTGGAGAGATTTCTCGTTTAGGAGACGAGCAGAGCAGATGCTGGAGAAGACCCCGACAGCGCAGCTCAGCCCAGCGCTTCGGCGTGCCTGAGAGCATCTTCCACAAAAAGTCCCCTCTCGAGGCAAGGAAAAAGACCAGCAAGAACACGCTCCGATGCCAAGAAGTAGAGCTCGTGAGTTAATATGGAACAGCATCTGGCTCTAGAGCTGCCTGCCCCTGGAAGTTGTACTAGATCCTATTCCTCAGCTTTAACTGAATGTTAAAACCGAAAGTCTAACGGCAGGAATAGCTTTACTGCCCTTCCCGTGTCGGCAGGCCAGGTTATACACTTCCCTCTCCATCACCCAGAAAGGGCTGTTCATTTTTTAAGCGAATCTGTGCAATGTTGTGGTTAGACAGACCACGGTCCAACTTCTGGAAATCTTGGTGAATTGGGACTGTGGAGCTCCCTTGGGTTCCCCGTAGCCCCCCAGCCCTGGGGAGGGAGCTGAGCTTAGCGCTGCTCTCCGGAAAGGCTGGCAGGACACCCCGGCACACAGGGCTGGGGGCTTGGGGGGCAGTCAGGAAACAGTATAGCACAACCGGGGGCCACAGCCACCGTCTGGACCCCGCAATGCATCCCCTTTCCTCTGGCACCCCTGGGCACACCCTACGCACAGCTCCTGCATCCAGCCCTGGTCATGGGCAAGGGAGGCAGGGGCTCACAGGGCAGCGGCTCACTCTGCCTGCCTGGCATCCCCCATCCCCTCCCCTTTGAACTTGAGCCCCCACCCCCTTGTCTCTATATCCTCGCACAGCTGCGTACCCACCCCAGCACCGCTGGCTGGAGACGAGCCACCTGGGCAGGGCCGGGGTGGACAGAGGGATGCACGGCATCCTTCGGTCACCCTCCCAAACCCATGGGGGCTGGGGGGGGGGCAGAGCTCGGGCAGCCCCTGCCCTCCCCGGGTGATGAATGAGCTGACAATATGCTATTGATAAGGAATTAACCTTGAGCCCTTCTTGCTTCAGTGTCAATAGAGCAGGAGCCAAGTACACACGTTTGATTGGAAATCTGTGTTTGGCCTCTGTGCCCATCGACGTGCTGGAGAGACGAGAGGGGGATGTGAACCGCCCTGCTGCCCCCTCCCCAGCCGGGACCCCCTCCCCGGTGGGTCCCTCTCGGCTCCCCCAGCCGCCTGCCGCTGGGGCCCCCGGCCCTTGGGGGCCTGCGTTAGCCTCTGTGCCCCCCACCTGCCATGTGGGGGGCTGGGTACCAGGGCCCCTCCCCGGTCCCTCAAAGGGCCTGTGCCCATCCTGCTCCGGCCTCCACTCCGAGCAGTTTGTTTAATTAAGTGTTTTGCCTAATGGGATTGCCTCATTTCCATAACAAACTGGCGGGCTGTCATTAGGTGGGCTCCCTCATTCATTACTGTTAATTAGATATGGATCCCCCCAGAAGGCGTCGCAGGGTGATGAACGAGGCCCCTGACACACGCTATTACACATTAGCATTTTCTCAATATGTCCGATACATCACGGCCCTCCGCTTTCTAAAGATATTTTAAAATATTAG